CAATTTGAAAGATTGTATGAATTATTTTAAGTTGGCATATCTTAGGCTGACCTAAAGGTTTCAACAGAACCATTTTGGTTATAATGACAAAAATATAATAGATAAAATATTTCTACAAACATTAATTATAAGGTATAGTTTTTAAAATTTTATTTTGTATATGTACGCCTGCAATTTAAAAACACTATCTAAAACAAAACTGGCATGTTTTGATAAAGATCTTTTATTTTATCCATCATTTGGCACAAGTATGAGGAAAGCCTTTGAGCTAACTGGGTAATAATATTTATGACGTAGGATTGAAATGGGATATAGGCATTGAACCCTATCAGACCTAAATCATTTGCAACATGGACCTATAAGATTTGACAAACAACTAATGGAAATTTTATATAATGTGTAGAAGTTACACTTAAGTTTATCTATTGAAAATTGACTAAATAATTTCATTTTATGGAAAATTATATTTGTCCCTTAATGTTTATTAAACCTTTTTAACTGCAATCTTCAACATCTGCCAGGCACGAAAAGAACGGCGAGCACAGGTGACTTGCCGCCCGACCAGAACCAAGGCTGAGCGTACAGCGCGTCGTGTTTCACGCGCACCTCAAGGAGCCATCATACCACCACAGCCCTAACAGGGCTGATGCCGATACGGAGCTGCAGAAGACTTAACGGGTTGCCGGGGCTCCAGTTCGAGGTGCAGGAGTAGGAACGGGGTGGTTTTTAGTCAGTAAGAGTCTCTCACTCATTAGATGATTTTTCCCCTCGAAAAAAGGCGCGAAAAGAAATAAAACCTCTTGTGTCGAGAAGGCCTACTGTCCAACTCAACTATCATCACATCATGAGTCGTAGATGTTGATATTGATAATCTTGATTCGTCAAAATTTCATGCATTGTAGATTTCGAAATTATTGCTCATAAATAATTACTCAGAGATCACAAATTGAAACCATACTTTAAAGATATTACCTAACGTTACTTCATTCATATAAATTTTATGATTCTGGCATCGTAATGAGTTTTCAGTAATAGTATATTTCTTAGTAAAATAGGCCTAATGTAATCTTAGAAGAAGCGAGTGGAGGTAGACGAGTACCTCATGATTAATATTAATTCCGTGAATGTCGTGAAATGAAATCTTAAATTTATTTGGATACTTACTATGTTACTTCAAGATACATATTATATCTGTGCCATAATTGTCAAGAAAATGTTAGAATTTTTGCCGTTTGTTCTCTAAAAATGTATGATTTTTGTATTGGCAGTTTCCATAGTTGGCCATCGCTCTCTCAGGTGTTCTGTCTGTTCGTAATCGTAGATTACGATACCGTGAACAATTAAAAGGATCGAAGAATAAATTTTACTTCACATTGTATTATAGCGCAATTTCTTCGCATATTAAAAATGTTTCTTTAGAATTTAATTTGTATGAACAAAATGTAAAAATTACACTTAACAGTCGTCTGGAGCTGAAAACTATTTATTTATTCACTGAAGCGTGAACGAAACGCGTTCAAGTGGAAACGTATGTCATCAACTGCATTGTGAAGCACTCAATTAGTGATTGAATCAATTTGACTAATTGTTGCGAATTATTGCTCGTATTTTATTTATAGGAATGTTGTCTGGCAGTGCGTCTGTCCATATAACTGGGTAGAAATATTTTTAAAAGTACAGCAAATCTATCTTCAGCAATAAATTATGCAAATTATTCAGTAATAAATTGCTTATTAAGCAATTTATTGCTGAATAAATAAAAAAAATAAAATAATATTTTAGAACGTCACCTTGTATATTCTCACAATGAAAAATACGTTAAGTAAGTAAGTATATCAACAATAACTAACAACTCTAGTTTTATTTTTAAAAGACAAGCATTATTGTATTTAGTTAATCCCTCGACTGGCAAGGAATCCATATAAAATGTCTCAAGCCATTCCTCAGAAGTTATACTCGCAAAAGATTTACAAAAACATCTATCAAATGAAAAAGCCTTTACAAATCTAGATCCATCGTTTTAATTCTTCTTCGTATCTGCTTTTACATTCTCACGAATATTTATTGCTAGGGATGCAAAACTCTTGAGTTTAGTGCTTCACTCGCCGAAGACAAACGATCCCACTCCTCCGTATTTTCTTACATGACAAAGACGAAACTTTTCCAAGTCGACGTTTCAGAAATATTTCTGTTGTGTAAACTTTAATCTTAAGACGTCGCGACGTCTCGCTGAACGCTCTTTTAATTTCAACTGTGATTACTTTACACGATTGCGATTCATTTCGAGTTATTAATGCTATATAAGTATGAGTTTATTGTCGAAATGGAACTCCTGACATTTATTCTACTATTTACGTAATCCTAAAGTCGTTCATTAAAAAAATCAAAAGACTACTAAAATTTAAATTAGGAACCTAATAATTTATGAAGGTTTCAACGAAATAATTACTATTCCATTATAATACAACAATTAACTAAATTGCAAACTACAGCATTACCAAACACCTTAATACCACTTCAAAGTCGAATTATTTGTAAACAAGATTATTTATAAAACGAAACGAACGCAAGCCAATTAACAGGGTGTCGTTCTAATGAAATAATAATCCAGTAATCGGTAGAGGAGCACCCTTTCTTGAAGACATAAGTCTCAATAAGTGCCGGAGAACGATACAGTTACACTCCTTTTATTGCGCGCTGGAAGAGCCATTTACATCGCTTTGATTGTTCAGACTATAGGATTTTAGAAAACGGTGTAATGGGCTCGCAGTAAAATGTAATCTAGATAGCATTAGCCCTTGGAGTGGTACTATAAATTTAGGTTTATGTTACATTACATAAGGTTTTTTATGGCTCACTATTTGTACTTGTTGGTATACCTACAATTTTCAAGATGAAGGAAATAATTAAGTTAGTAATACTAAATCACGTTTAACCACCGTATTACTATGTTATTCTTGAATATTTGTAACTAAAGATAAATGAGTAAGATAAAACATTGATAGATAATGTTGTGAATGCATTGTACTTTTTGTGTCTTCAAAATGACTTCTCTATAATTTCTTACCCATCGCAAAACTGTTAAAAGTC